ATTAGGATGTTAATAGCACTCGCGGTCATGCATGATCTTGAAATCCATCAAATGGATATTAAGACAACCTTCTTAAATGGAGAGTCGGAGGAAGAGATTTACACGAAACAACTTAAGGGGTTTGTAGTTCCAGATTAAGAAACAAAAGTGCACAAACTTGTTAAGTCACTTTATGGGCTCAAGCAAGTACCCAAACAATGACATGCTAAATTTGATCAAACGATGTTGACAAATGGATTCAAGATCAATGAGTGTGATAAATGTGTCTACATTAAAAACATTCTAAATCATGAAGTCATTGTTTGTTTATATGTTGATGACATATTAATAATGAGTAAAAATATTGACGATATAAATGCTACTAGGCACATGTTGTCCAGCAAGTTCGATATGAAGGACTTGGGAGTTGTTGATTTGATCTTAGGAATCATAATTCATAAAACTCCTTAAGGATTAACATTATCTCAATCTCATTATATTAGAAGAGTATTGGATAAGTTCAAATACTTGAATTTCAACGACAAGACTCTAATTGGTATAAGTTTTATATTTCAAAAGAATGAAGGTGAAAGTGACTCTCAATTGGACTATGCCAGAGTGTTGAGAAGTTTGATGTATATTATGAATTGTACGCGACCAGATATAACATGTGCTATTAGCAAGCCGAGTAGTTTCACTAGTAATCCTAACCAAATTCACTGGATGACAATGAAATGTGTACGTGTTGGGGTATCTGAAACATACACAACACTATGCCTTGCATTTTAATAAATATCATACCATGATTGAATGATATAGTGATGCAATTTGGATTACCGGGTCAAATGAAGTAAAAATCCACAAGTGGATATGTATTTACTCTTAGTGGGGGAGCAGTCTCTTGGAAATCATGTATCGCTTGCTCTACAATGAAATTTGAGTTTATCGCTCTAGATAAGGCCAGTGAATAAGTTGAATGATTCCATAACTTCTTGAAATATATTCTTTTTTGGCCCTAACCTTTGGCATCAGTATGTATACACTTTGATAGTCAAGATGCAATAGGTAGGGCATGAAGCATGATGTATAACGAAAAGTCTCATCATATAATACGTAGACATAATACCGTTAGAAAACTACTCTCTAGTGGAATTATCACAATTGAATATGTAAAGTCAAACGATAATGAGTTAGATCCACTAACAAAAGGCCTAGTTAGAGATACAATTGAAAGATTGTTTAAGTGAACTAGTTTACGGCTTTGGACAGGTCATCATGACAGTAACTCTACCTAGTAGACTGGAGATTCAAAGAGCTAGGTTTAAGGATAAAACAAAGTTGTGACTGACGGTTCGACATTGTCCACCAACTCAATCCATTCTCATGATGAAGACAATACACATGATGAAGACAATACACATGAACAAGGATAAAACATTAAGGCTTGTTAATGAGTTGATAAAGATTAAAGTTTTTAATGATTTGCTAAGTTTGGCAAATTTGACCAAATAATGTATCTACGCAATAACACGTGTTAGAAATCAATTATATGAGTGTGAAGTGGAAGCCTCTTCAAAGAGATTCATTTTATAAAGCCTATTCTCTATACACTCTTGAAACCAAGAGGTGTTTATGGATGAAACAAATACAACCGTAAGAATCATAAACAGTAAAGGGTTGATTGTATGATATATGGTTGTCTAGGTATACACCAAAGCTCGATGGTTTCAAGGATATCACATCTAGCGATTGATCGAGTATATCCGACATATGTTCACTATGAAAAGTTCAAAGGGAAACCTACTTATCCAGTTGCAATTAATTCTTGCTTGTAAAGTATACACACTTGTTCATTTTTTTGTCTTTGAGTCATTCTGCATTTATGCGGGGGATTGTTGGGTTTTAAAATGTATGAATGGAAAATGAATAGTTGTGACTTTTATGAAGAGTTGCGACTTTAATGAAAAATTGCTACTTTTATGAGAAGCTGTGACTTCTATGAATAGTTGTGACTTTTAAAAAAGGCTGTGACCTTTTCGAAAGATTATGACTCTTCCAAAGGGTTGTGACCTTTTCGGTAAGGAACTATAAGTACCTTTTCACACTACCCTTTGTTGTCTATAAATAGAGGGATTTTCTCTCATTTTAAGAGAACTAATTTTCTGGATTTCTTTTTTCTACTACTAAATCTAATATTCTAAATGTACTTTACTGTTGTTGAGTGGTTTGCTGACACCATGGTTATAGGTACCGATACACCAGTGAGTAAGATTGTTCTATCCTAGGAGGATATATTCCATTAACCTCGGGTACTTGAGGGAAATAATTTTCTTAAGGGGACACTGTGCATTCAGTGAACTCGATTTTCTTCGTTGAGAAAAATATTTTGTATATTGTTTCTAATCTGTTTCTGATTCTATTTTCTCTACTGGTTTTAATTTTCTAGTTTTGAAAATACTCTATAAACTTTGTTGTTTCTAACCAAGTTCTCCTAAGTTTTTGTTCTAAGTATATTAGAAATATAGTATGAACAACAAGCCAGTTTCCGGGAACGGAGAAGTCTCAATCTGATTTCTTATTTGCTGTTGAAAATTGGTGTAACTGTGTGATACTTGCTTTATCTTTTAATATTACTCTACTTCATCATGTATTTGCTGCCTGGAGCTCTGCCTAGCAATCGAGGCTGTTGAAAATTGGTCTAACTGTGTGATACTTCCTCTCTCACATTTTTACTAAAACAGATTGCTGATTTATCTAGATTAACCACTTATCCAGAGCTTCAATTATATTTCCTTAAAATATCGGCAGCACAACCTGCATTTTGATTGTTAATTGAACAAAATATAAAGAAGTCATCGACAAAAAGTAAATGAATTACGCTTAGACCATATCTATTTAACTTTAGCCCTTGGATTTGATTTTGTCCCTCTCATGTAACCATCATAGAGAAGACAAAATTAATATTTGCTTGAAAAGACTTATCTGGATAATTAATTAATGTTCAATGATAAATTTGGTAAGAATATCTATAAGATTCTCTACAAACCCTAACTAGGATTTATTTTTTTATATATATATAAAAGAAGAATTATCTGACATTCTACTAAAAGGAAACATCAAACAAAATTCAGCAAGTAAACTCTTTTCTCCCCTTTTTTGTATAGGTTTTTTTCACTCATTTGTTGCTCATTCAATACTCTTTTTGCTAATCAAGAACAGAGAAAAAAGTTCTCATTTGATTCCTATAAATATATATATGTGTGTGTGACATTTAATTGTTCCTTTTTATTTGGGGTGTTTTTGATGTTTTGTTTCAGGTGAAGTTTTGTTTTTTGTTCTTGAACTTTTGGATTTTTACCTGATATACTATCTGATAAATATTGGTTTTGTGTTACCTGATATAGGATATATATATGTTCAATAAATCAATCAACTATGCCTCAATCCGAACCTAGTTGAATTTACATGATATATGATCTATATATACGATCTGATAAGTGATAAATATTGATTTTGTGTTACCTGATATATGATCTATATATGTTCAATCAATCAATCAACTATGCCTCAATTCAAACCTAGTTGAATTTACTGGTAATGTCAGAATTTTTCTGTCTATTTTGCAGAATTCTGAAGATTTTCGCTGATTTTCCATTAATTTAGATCTTTGAGGTTTGATACATGTTAGTTCTTAATAGTAAATTAATTTGTTTGATTTGTTTTTCATTGAATGGTTGTTACTCATTAGCCATTGTTAGATACAATATTTGTTTTACTTCTTTTATATATTTTTTTGAGTATGAATGTTCTTTTTCTCTTCTTTCATATTGTATTTGATGTTTTTGCATATTTGGTTGCAGGGTGCTACTAGAGGAGTGTGATCTTCTGTTTGAGTTGTGTTCTACGACTTGGTTGTGCTTGATCGATATCGTCTCGAGATGGAAAGAAAAGCTTTAGCTTTAGCTGATTCTGGAATCATGCCAGTTTCCAAGAACGAAAAGGTCTCAATCTGATTTCTTATTTACTAATGAAAATTGGTCTAACTGTGTAATACTTGCTTTGTTTTTTTAATGTTACTCTATTTCATCATGTATTTGCAGCCTGGATTTATTGCCCGACAGCCTAGTAACTCCCTGTTTCTTCATCCTCATAAGAAGAGGTACTCTGTGCTCTATCCTCATGCACCTATCCATCCTTCAAGAAATGTTGATTCTGGAATCAAGCCAGTTTCAGGGAACGAAAAGGTCTCAATCTGATCTCTTATTTGTCAATTTTGCTGAATCCGTTCTCTCAAATGAGAGTTCTTCCATTAAATAGAAAGAATTCTAATTTACATGCCAAAAAATCTGCTATATATCCCTTAATATATGCTATTCCTAATTGTAATATCTCTAAAAATATGCTACACTAATCTATGCTATCTCATATCATCATTACATAAATATTTAGAGTTATAACATAGATATGTACAAATATTTAGATATTTAGAATCTGTCCAATCATGCTAACACCCCTCCCCCTCTCAAATTGATGCCGGTGGATCAAAAAGCACCAGAAACTGATGACGTTGTCGTGCCATAGACTTTGTAAACACATCAGCTATTTGAAGATCACTGGATACATGTGGACGAGTAGCGACTCTCTTATCTACAACTTCTCTGATATGATGACAGTCTACTTCAATGTGTTTGGTCCTTTCATGATAAACTGGATTAGTAGCAATCTGAATAACACTTGTGTTGATCAAAATGGAGAGGAGTGGGATTAGATTAAGGAAATTCAATTTTTGCAAGTAAACCACGAAGCCAAACAATCTCAGAGAAAGCAATAGACATTGCTCGATATTCAAATTCGGTGGAAGATTTTGATACATAGTCTTGCTTCTTGCTCTTTCAAGATATCAAGGAATCTCCAAGAAACATGCACCAACCCGTGACGGAGCGACAGATATCAGGACATCCAGCCCAATCAGAATCACTAAATACATTAAGTTGAATCTCAGAACCACTAGGAAAGAATAATCAACGAGTAGATGTTCCCAAGAGATATCGAATGATGCGACGGACAGCCACCAAATGTAGATGGCGTGGAACCTGCATAAATTGACCCACTTGTTGAAATGAAAAAGAGATATTAGGCCAAGTAGTAGTAAGATAATTTAGGCTCCCAACTAATTGCCAATACAAAGTTGGATCATGAAGAAGATCTCCTTTTGCACGACAGTACTTTACATTCAATTCCAATGGAGTATTTACAGAGGAAGATTCTTGAAGACCAGCCAAAGCAATCAAGTCCTGAGTATATTTCTCTTGGTTCAAGAACACACCTAAAGAATTATAATGAACTTCTAACCCCAAAAAGTATGTAAGAGTACCAAGATCTTTCATATGAAAAGAATCCTTAAGCTGCTGTTGGAGGCTAGTGATTAGTGAAGAATCAGTTCCTGTGATAATAATATCATCTACATACACCAAAAGAATAATACAACATGCAGATGTTCTTCGAAGAAACAAAGACGAATCATATTTGCTTTGTTCAAAAGAAAATTGAAGCAATGTAGACCGAAACTTGTCAAACCAAACTCTTGGAGCTTGTTTTAATCCATATAAAGACCGCTTCAACTTGCATACATCTGATGTAGGTGATGAGAACAAACCAGGGGGGTTTTATATAAATATCTTCTTTGAGATCACTATGAAGAAAAACATTTTTGACATCCATTTGATGAAGAGGCCAATTTTGTGATGTAGCAATGACCATAATAGTTTGCACCGTAGTCATTTTTGCTATAGGTGCAAAAGTCTCCTTATAGTTTACACCATACTCCTGTTTGTTGCCAAGGACCACAAATTGAGCTTTGTACCGATCAAGAGTTCCATCAGAATGAAGTTTAATTGGATAATGTAAATCATAACTTATTGAGAATAACTTGTATATTGCTCAAAGAGAACATACATGGAGAGAATCAGCTAACTATGGTAACTAAATATTCTAATCCCTAAGAATCAGCTTTATTATCTATCTATATTATTATACAGATTCTGTAACACTCCCCCTCAAGCTGGAACATAGATATTGATCATGCCCAGCTTGTTACAAAGGTAATCAACTCGAGTTCCATTCAACGCTTTTGTAAACAAATCAGCTAGTTGTTCTCCTGTCTTCACGTAGCCAGTGGAAATCAAGTTCTCCTGAATCTTCTCACGAATAAAATGACAATCAACTTCAATATGTTTAGTTTTTTCGTGATACACTGGATTTGAGGCAATATGAAGAGCAGCTTGATTATCACACCAAAGTTTTGCTGGGGTATGATGCTTCAACCCAATTTTAGATAAAAGATGATGTATCCACATGATCTCACATGTAGACTGTGACATAGCTCTATACTTAGATTTTGCACTGGATCGAGATACAACACCTTGCTTCTTACTCCTCCATGATACTAGGTTGCCTCCAATAAAAACACAATAGCCTGTAGTAGATCTTCTATCATTCTTGGATCCAGCCCAGTCAGCATCTGCAAAACACTCAATATGAGTATGACCGTGATTACTATACAATATGCCAAGTCCAGGAGCTCCTTTCAAGTAACATAGGATCTGTTCCAAAGCTTCCCAATGTTTGACCGTAGGTGCACTCATGAACTGGCTAACAACACTTACCTCAAAAGTAATATCCGGACGAGTCACAATAAAGTAGTTTAACTTCCCAACCAACCTTCTATATCTCTCTGGATCATCAAAAGGATCACCATCATCTTTCATAAGGTGCACATTGGGAACCATTGGAGTACTACAGGGTTTGGCTACTAACTTTCCGGTATCTGCAAGCAGGTCAAGAATATACTTTGTCTGAGATAGAAAAATTCCCTTGTTGCTTCTATTTACTTCTACTCCCAAAAGGTATTTCAACGGACCCAAGTCCTTTGTATGAAACCTAGTATGCAAGAAAGTTTTGAGGGAAGAGATTCCCATATAATCATTTCCTATGATGACAATGTCATCAACATATACAACAAGGAGGATAGTGCCGGATGTTGATTGTCGGTAAAATACTGAGTGATCACATTTGCTCATTTTCATCCCAAAATTCTGAACTACCTCACCGAACTTGCCAAACCAAGCTCGAGGACTTTGTTTCAATCCAAACAAGGACTTCTTCAAATGACAGACTTTTCATACTCCCCGTGAACAACAAAACTAGGTGGTTGCTCCATATACACTTCTTCTTGAAGATCACCATGAAGGAATGCATTCTTGATATCTAACTGATGTAAAGGCCAATTCTCAGAAGCATCTATAGAAATGAACAAACGAACAGATGTGAGTTTGGCAACCGGGGAGAATGTGTTTGAACAGTCTACTCCATATGTTTGAGCATACCCTTTAGCTACAAGTCTGGCTTTAAGTCTCGCTATATATCCTTTTGGATTAACTTTAACTGTGAAGACCCATTTACATCCCACTGATTTCTTTCCCTTGGGTAAATCCATTAATTCCCACGTGTGGTTTTCCTCTAAGGCATGTATTTCATCAAGCATTGCAGCAGACCACCCAGGATGATTCAAGGCCTCTTTCACTGTTTTGGGTACAGAAACAGAGTCTAGAGAAGCAATCAAAGATCTAGACATAGAGGATAAGTGGCCATAGGAAACAAAATTACTAATGGAATATGAGGATTTGCAACTACGTGTACCTTTGCGAAGAGCAATTGGGAGGTCAATATCTTGTGGAGGATCAGAAAAATGAGGATCTGATGACAAAGGAACTGGTGTAGGACATGTATCATTAGCCTATCACCTCCTCGAGTAAACTTGAACAATTGGCGTTCTTGCCACATCAAATGGAGAAGGAGCTTCTGAAACAATATTCGATTGGTCCTCAATAGAAGAACTGAGAGATGGAGGGACAACATCTGATTCTTTTGTCAAAACATGGGTGACCTGATAGACCAGCCACTCATCTTCCTCCCCCTGACTTGTAGTAATCGAAGGTGCATAGAAGAATGGTGTAATCTCTGAAAATACCACATCTGTTGACACCAAATATTTTCCAAGTTCGACAGAATAACACCGATACCCCTTTTGGAGGCGAGAATAGCCTAGAAACACACACTTCAATGCCTTGGGATCCAACTTGGTAACAGATGGTCGAACATCTCGAACATAGCACGTGCTTCCAAATATCTTAGGTTCTACCGAAAATAGAGACTTGTTTGAAAACATAACATTGTAGGGCACATTACCAGCAAGCACACTAGATGGCATGCGATTAATCAAAAAACAAGTTGTAGAGACCGCATCTGCCCAAAATTGTTTAGGAACCTTTATTTGGAACAAAAGTGTTCAAGCTGTCTCAAGTAAGTGTCTATTCTTCCTCTCAGCAACTCCATTTTGAGCAGGTGTATTGACACATGAAGACTGATGGAGAATACCATATTGTCTCATATACGACTGAAATAATTCTGACATATATTTTTTAGTATTGTCACTCCTCAGAATACGTACTGAAGCATTGAATTGTGTCTTGACTTCAGTACAGAAGGCACAAAAGTGAGTAAATACTTCTGAGCGACTCTTCATAAAATAAATCCAAGTCATCCGAGGAAAATCATCCACAAAAGTAACAAAGTACTTATGCCCAGTTTTGGAAACAACAAGACACGGTCCCCAAACATCAGAATGAACTAACTCAAAAGGTGACTCAGCTTGCTTATTAACCCTTGGACTTAATGAGCTACGATGATGTTTTGCAAATCGACATGACTCACATTCTAATGAAGAAATATTCTGGAATTAAGGACACAACTTCTTTAATAGAGGTAGAGAAGGATGTCCCAATCGACAATGTGCTTCAAATAGAGACACAACACTAGAGCAGGCAACAAACCGAGGCTCTCATTCATCAAGTATATAGAGATTGTCAAATACATGTCCTTTACCAATAACCTGATTCGTCTTAAGATCATGAAACAAACAATGATCAGGAGAGAACGAAATATAACAATTAAGGTCTTTGGTAACTTTGCTAACAGAAATCAAATTAAAGGCCAACTTTGGTAGACTTAATACAGATGACAGTGTAATAGAAGTGGTTGGTTTAACCGTCCCATATCCAACATTGTTGCAAGTTGATCCATCAGCTACGATAATCGGAGAGGGTTCTTTGTGTGCTTGAAAGCAAGAAAAAATATTAGGATTGCCTGTCATGTGATTTGAGGCACCTGAATCATTCACCTATTTATTTGAAGAGGTGATAAGACATGTTTTATTTGATTCAACAAAGGAATTAACTGAAGTGGATTCCTTCGAGATTTTCTGGTATTGAGAGAATTTAGCAAACTCCTCCTCTGAAATTAGGACCATTTTGTCAGATAATGGACTACAAGCACCAACAACTTTAGACCTTTGAATTCTCTGATTATAGTCGGTCATTTTCCCAACAAATCCAACCATATTATATCCTAAAATCAGACAATACCCAAGATAGACAATAACCTATTTTGGAACAATAAACAAAGTAATTGTTTCTTCCCCACACCAATTCCACTCAGGGCTAGCTATCCAATTAATCAGAGACCAAAAAATAACTTCTGATAAATCAGGAAATCATCAAATAAAGATCCAAGTAAAAGTGTTGATTGAAGAGCAAAACCTGATGATGCAGATGCTGCCCGACACAGAAAGACGACCAGATTATTGGTCAGAAATGGGAAACTCTCTCACATCGTGGTCTGCTGAACAAACAACCACCAAATCCCTGCTGGAAATGTCATTGCGACATTTGAACAACAAGCAGATTGAATTTCTGATGCAGCATGCATAAATTTTTGATGCAGCACCACTACTGCAGTCTCACTGGAAATGGTATTGATGGAACGTTGAGGCTCACACGAGTAACTTCTAGCCGTCGAGATCTAGGGGTTTAAGATCGTGGGAAGTATCTTCTTCCTAAGTGGGTGGTGACAGAAATTTTAGAACTCTCAATTACTTTCGATGAAACTATAGTTGATTCCGGCGAAGTCACAGGGACTTCCGGCGAAGACAAAATACCAACTCAGACATTGGCTCTAATACCATGTAAATCATAACTGATTGAGAATAACTTGTATATTACTCAAAGAGAACAATGGTATAAATACATGGAGAGAATAAGCTAACTATGATAACTAAATATTCTAATCCCTAAGAATCAGCTCTATTATCTATCTATATTATTATACAGATTTTGTAACAAATAAACCCATTTACATCCAATTGGACGGACATATGGAGGACAAGGAACAATGTCCCATGTGTTATTTTATTTAAGAGCCAAAAGTTCCTCCTCCATTGCCTTTTGCCAATATTCAAGCTTGGAGGCTTGTGAGTAACCTATTGGAATAGAGATGGCGGATAAAATAGAAGAAAAACCATACCGTTTAGGAGTTTGAGACACTCTAGTAGATTACCGAGGATGCTCAAGAGGAGCAGACCTTGAAGAAATCTCAAATTTTGGTTGTGGAGCAGTCTCAGGTGGCGGATCTGTTTTGGGATGGGGTAAAGTTGGCCGCCGTCGTTCATACACAAATCCTGGTTTGAACTGCTTAGAAGAAATTGACAAATCCTCAAAAGTAGGAAGAAGAGGAGAAACGGAAGATGACTCAACATGAGTATGAAAGAAATATTGATTCTCTAAGAAAATAACATTTCTAGAAACACGAAATTTGTTAGAACTTGGATCATAGAAAATAAAACCTTTCTGCGAAGTACTATAACCCATAAAAACACATTTAATAGA